ACTTGGGAGTCACACGCCATTAATCCCAGCACTAGGAAGGAAGTGATGGCTGGGAGGAGAAAGGTATATAAGGCGGGAGGAGACAGGAACTAAAGGCTTTTTTGGCTGGAGCCTTTCGGGTGAGGACTCAGAGAAGTTCAGTCAGAGGATTCATGGAGTTGGCAAGGTGAGACGTGGCAGTGGCTTGTTCCTTTGTCTCTCTGATCCTTCAGCATTTACCCCAATATCAGTCTCCTGGGTTTTTTTTTATTAAAAGACCAATTTAGCAGTTCGTGTTATAGATGACGGCATTGAGAGGGTTCGTGTGATTCCGGATATACCTAGGGGCTGGGCCAAGCAGATTAAAAGAGGAAATGTAAGAAAAAAGTCCTACGATGACTTCACTGAAGTGGAGGACCCGGAGGACATATCTGCAGTCACATTTGGACATGCTAAGTCTGCATGCCCATTAGACTTCCACATGGAAACAAATGACAGTAAAAGGTATGTGGGTTTGCAGAAGAAGGTGCCTCAGGTATCTTTTGCTGCACAGTGAACTACTCCCTAACTTAGTGGGCCAGTGAGAGGCATGTGCTACCAGGCTGGAGACCGATTCCCAGAACCCACCGGGAAGGAGAACCAAGTCCACAAAGCTGTCCTCTGGGCTCCACACATGCTCTGTGGTATGTACATAAACTTTAAAAAAATCTTAAAACGTATATAAATGACGAGAATTTAGTTTTCTTATAATTCTGTAGGTCGACAGGGCTCATCCGGGTAGTGCTGGTCCCTGTGACATCAGCAGGGGTTACTCATCTGGCCTCATCCATGGGTGGCTAGGCCAGTCATGATAGCTTCACTTATTATCACTCACTATCTGGTCGCTTGGTGCGTGTGCTGGCTAGTTTTATGTCAACTTAACACAGGCTAGAGTCATCTGAAAGGAGGGAACCTCAACTGAGAAAATGTCTCCATAAGATCCAGCTGTGGGGCATTTTCTTAATCAGTGATTGATGTGGAAGGGCCTTGCCCATTGTGGGTGGTGCCATCCCTGGGCTGGTGGTCCTGGGTTCTATTGAGCAAGCCATGAAGAGCAAGGCAGTAAACAGCACTCCTCCATGGCCTCTGCATCAGCTCCTGCCTCCGGGTTTCTGCCCTGCTTGAGCTCCTGTCCCGACGTCCTTTGATGATGGACTCTGATGTGGAAGTGGAAGTCAAATGAACCCTGTCCTCCCCAAGTCGCGTTGGCCATGGTGTTTGTCATAGCAATAGTGACCCTAACTAGGCCAGTGCTCCATAGGGCTCTTCATGTAGTTGGCTTAGGCTTCCTCATACTACAGGCCACAGGGAGTCAGACTCCTCCCTGGCTTCTCAATAGAGGACAATAGCAGAGGTTACCTGGCCTGTTAAAGGCTAAGCCCAGTCTCAGATAGCCTGCCTTCTGCCATACTGTTTTGAGAAGTCAGATAGTGAAGAGGGCCCACCTGTTCATAAGGACAGTGGCATATGCGTTGGTAGGTCTCAGGGTGTGCAGGTGTCTAGAAATGAGTTCACACTGGACTGTAGAAGGATTTCCGGCAGTTAGATGAAGCCAGCACCTCAGGAACTTGTGAAATGGTTTTCCATCCCCAGGAGTCCCTCCTGTTTCTTATAATCCATGTGATCTGTCCACCCTATGCTCTCTTGCCCTCTGTTATCTCTCACAGATAGCCCTGGCTATGACCAGTCCACTGCTCTTCCTCACTGCTCTGGACTCTTCCAAGATGACTCTGGATATCCTCTCTCTTATTCACAATAAGAACCTTTCTCCCAATAATGGAGCAGCCATGTGGGCGGATTCTTTGCTGCTCTCCCTCGAGTGCATCGGTACAGACTGAGATCCACTTTAGAGACTAACCACGGGGGGAGATGTCAGTAATAGTGATACAACTTGAAAAGTAATCAGAGGATAGCCCCCAAAGCCATGTTTCTGGACAGACTAACACAGGAGGAAGGTAGGCAAGAGATTTTTTTTAAAGCTCATCTTCAAGGACATTCCACTATGCTGCACTTGGAAAGAGAAGCTGGCCGAGGGAACAGAAGGCATGGCTGCTAAGGTAGGAGGAACCTTGAGAGCGTAACCATGGTTCCAGATGATCAGTAGCATCTGATGCTACAGAGAGCAGAAGAAAACACCAAAGTTTACTGCTGGGCTTGGGGAATGGAGCTTTTACAAATTTCAGTGACTTCGCCTCAGTTTGAGCTGGGTGGATTCCAGACTAGAAGAATCGGTGGCAGCCAGCACAGACCACTCTTGGAATGTGTTAGGTGGGAAGCAAAGGGGTGGGTCAGAATGAAATGAGATGTAAGCCAAGATAAGGCAAAGGTAGACGACAGCCTTTAGAGAGTGCACACCATTTACCATTACAAAAAAAAAGGAAGGAGAAGGTCAAAATAATTTAGAAAACCAGAGTATGTGACTACCCAGGACAAGTGGTTAGACCTTCTTAGTGGGAAGCTGTGGTAGAAACAGAGCAGTCTCCTGGGGAGGGGACACAGGTAATCCAGGCTTGAAAAGGACGGGTCCTGTCGGAAGGTCTTTAACAATGCACACACACACACACACACACACACACACACACACACACACACACACGAGCTAGAAGCATGGTTCTGTAGCGGCAATAGGAAGGGAAGGTGGTGACTACAATCTCAGAGTATGTGGCCCCAGAGCAGGATGCAGGTGAGGAGCATGAGGACATGTTTCCAGTTTCTTTCTTCTCCAGAGTGGGAGAGGGCAGCCTTTGGAGCAAAAGATGGCAGGCATCTGGAGACTAGGGTATCCATCTGGGTCATATTAAAGTGGCCATGGACTGTTGATGGCTTCAGCATAGCCCAGTAGTGCACAGGCCTAGGAAGAAGCACTAAAGGTCCTTAAAGGACGGAGAGAATCACCCAGCACTTGACGATGACATTGGCATAGATGTAGCCTTAAAAAAAAACCTACAGTCATAGGAGTCAAACCAAGTGTCCCGGGCATGCTGCATCCCCATGGTGGCAATAGTGAGTCAGAGACTAACTGAATTCACATCCAGGCTATAGGCTTATGAGCTGTGTTCTCTTGAGACGTTCAAAACACTTGCATACGTGTATTTTTGTGATGGAACCAAAAGTTCCACACATCACAGTGGGGAAATTATAAGGATGTTTCACGGAAGGTGAGCAGGTACCGAGGAGGCTGAGCTGCAGGGGAGATAGGAATAGGCAAACGAGTTCTGTGGCTATGAAGGACAGCATGCGTTAGTGGTCAAAAAACAAACAAACAAACTGGAGTTCTGGATTCCCATTGCCTACTCTGTGTGGCTAAGATGGCAGTAAATTAAGATTCCTTGAATTAAGATCTTTATAAGACAAGTGACAAAAAACCCAGAACCCTACCTAAATCCAACGTAATGAGAATTCGTCCCATCCCAGATCTGACATTTCAGGATCACCAGCACCTTGAGGTTATCTGAGTCATGTCAGTCACAGGCCCAAGAATGTCACCAATGAGGGCCACCTCTGCTCTGCCTTTAGGGTGGTGTCTTCACTCCTAATTTGGTTCCACACCCACCATGGCCGCCTGACTCCAGCAGCACTGCTTCCTTCCATCCATGTGAAGAGCACCCCTCGGAACTTTTCTAACCCCCCCCAGCAAACTCTCCCAAGTCTCACCTGAACCAATCTGTTATAGAAATGTGCTAGCTGGCTTAGGCAGGACCTACTATTACTCTGGCAATGAGGAATTATGGTGGTTTGTGTAGCATATAAAGTCCACTTCTGTGGATGTGGCTGAGTCAAATTCCATAGAAGGAAACATGGCCTATAAAAACAGGACTGTTAGGAAGAACATGATGCTGGATAAATTCTAAGAGTATCCACCTACCTGACTATCTCATGAGCTGTGTGGATTAAATACCCTCCGACAGTACCTGGCTTTTTCCTTAAAAAGCTCCTGGAAACCTATCTAAAGAAACCACAAGATAATACAGGTATATAGGGGCAAGCTAAGAACAGTCTGGGAAAAAGGGTCAAAATGAGATGAAAAAGACAGCAGATATCAATGAAGTAGAGGTGAGCTGAATTAGTCATGTTCTTTTGGTGCCTCCCAAGTTCACCCTTTCTAAGAGCTGATGTGGGCTAAGTTTTTTACTCTATACCTGACTATGCCCCTAAATGTTCAGTGGCTTCCAGCTTTGCACCAAGCAAAGTAGCTCACCGCAGAATTCAAGACTCTGAAATATGAATCCACCCTAGACTGAGGCTCATTTTGTAAATATCAGTGCTGGGGATTGAACTTAAGACCTTATGACCTAAGTTCACTGGACCAATGAACTGTCCATTTAGTCATTTGTAAAATGTACAAATCTGTGCTCCAGCTAAATTGCACTTTGGTTGTTCCATGACCCCTACACAGCTGACATCCTCCTGCCTCCATGCAGACATTGCCTTTACCCTGAATGTTGTTTTTTCTCTCAAAATATTTCATCCTGTAAATTAAGTTTCAAATGCTGTTCTCTGATATAGCCTTCATGTGTTCTCCCACGCTCGTGTCCTCAGTTGTCTCCTCACTAGATTCCCTGGTATTAGGGTATCTGACTTTGTGTGCTCGACATGGTGAGACTCTTTAGTACAGTGACTATGTTCTCCCCTCCTCGTGATCCATGTTCATCCTTTATTTGCTCCTACAAAGAGCAAACTACTATGCACAGACATGAATGGAGAAGGCACTTCGTAACTACTGGTTGACTTCAACACTGTTCAGTAGGACTTGTGCTCACTGATGGGACTCTGTGGGTGGGGACTCTTGGGTGGGGCCGAATCAAACCATCAATTCCCATTCTGTTCATCTTGTTCTCAGAATCTTGTCAAAGCCCTTGCCTAAGTGAGCTTTGAACTCATAGAACTTTCTCTTGCCAAAGCAAAGCAAAGAATTGAGATGATTTAATAAAATAGCTCAGATTCAGGGGTGGGAGAAAAAACAACAAACCAACCAATCAAACTGCCTTTAAAATCACTGAGCCCTTCTGGTTTTATTCTGTCATCATAAAAAGTACTGTCATCTCAAGTATTTGGTGGCTTTCAAATTTTATTTTCCATGTCTCAAAAAAACAAAACACATACGTACAAAAACATCTTTTTAGGAGCTAGGGAGATCGCTCAAATTGTAAACTACAAGCATGTGGTTCAACCCCCAGCACCCACATAAAAGCCTGGCAGGCACTGTAACCCCAGCACTTAAGAGGAGGATCCCTGGGGCTTGCTGGCCAGTCTAACAAAATCAGTGAGCTCCAGCATCAGCAGCAGACCCTATTTCAAATACAAGGTGGAGAATTTTTTATTTTACTCTGCAACCAAGGTTGGGTGTGTGTACGTATTCTTGCATTCACTCTTTCAATAAGTAGATAAAAATACCCCAACATAGCAGGTATTTTTCTAGATGAAGTAAGAGAAGGAGAGACAGAAAAACCACAATCTTTACCCTTGAAGACTTATAAATAGAATGCAAACTACATACACATACACAGTCCCAGAACATTCACGAAACTAAAGCACCTATTAACACATGCGGTACAGTTTCCTTTTTCTACTTTTTTATTTAATGTGGATACAATGCATTAAACCATTAAGCTGCCTTAACTCAGAAACGAGCTGAGACTTGTACTTTAAAAAAATACTGGCCTAAACAAGTAAGACAACAGTCAGTGTGTGCCATTCCCATTTTATAGATGGCATGGCATGCAAAAAAGGTTCAGAGATTTACCTAAATTCACCCATGATCTCAGAGAAAGCACTGGCAGGCATTTCACTTAAGGGCTTCAACTGAGTCCAATCCCATCTTCAACACTGCAGGCTTCATCCCTGACCCAACTCATTCTCTTTCATCATACTATTTTGGGGGGTGAGGGTAGGGCTAGGGAGTAGGGTCTCACTCTGTAGCCCAGGCTGGCCTTACCTGAGTGCTAGGATTAGTCATGAGCCACTGGACTGGACTGCAGTTCTGACCTTTGTCTGGGGTACCCTTCACTCTTGTGAGTTACATCACCTACATACTTCTAACCCTATCCAGACTGCAGTGTACACCAAGATGCCTCTCTTGTGCCATAACTGCTTGCTTTATGACTACTTGTATGCCAGAGTAGGCCTCCACAATGTCGCCTCCCCATACACAGGTCTCAGTGATCTTTTTGTCCCTCACGCACAGCACATGCCACATACTCATCTCTGTGTATCTGTTACACAAGGCAGAGGACCAGTGAAAAGTTCTAGTTAGTGGGATGGCATTATCAGTGTGACAACCCAGAATCACCTGTGAGATGGGCCTCTGGGCATGCCTTTCCAAATCCTCTGATAGTATTAACTGAGGTAGAAGATACACACTGCCAGGCTGTGCAGGAGAGAACAGCAGCGTCCACTCTTTGTCCTCCACTGGACGGTAGATGAGGTTGACCAGCTGCTTCAAGATCCTGCTGCGTTGACTTCTCCACCCAATGGATGGTGTCTTGAACTGTGAGCCAACACCAGCCCTTTCTCCCTTAAGGTTTTTTCATCAGGGTACTTTATGTCAGAAACAGGAAAGGAACACAGGCACCTAAATTACAAAGTCACACAGTAGGCAAAGGCTTCAATAGTGGAAACTATACACACACTGATCTCCCTAGTATCAGTAGACAGATTTAGAACCGTGTCAGTATGTCAGGAATCACACAGAACAGACATAGCTCCTAGGGCCGAAGGAGACAGACGCTGGGCGATCTTTTGGCAGGAGAGGAGCAGACACGGCAGATGTGAGGACGCCCTGCAGTGGGGGCACTTTTACAACTGGAAGAGTTCCACCTCACTCAGATGTACAAGTCAGTTCCCGTTCTTAAGAGGCACAGCGTCTTCTAGGACTGCTCACTACTGCTTCCTCTGTGCTTGGTGAAAACGCCTACAGGACTATCAGGAGCATAACTGTGGCTGAAGGTTGACCCGACTGAAAACATGAGGTTTAAACTCCCCACACCAGAGGATGGGGATGCAGGACAGTCGGTTACACAGGGTCGCAGAGGGCCTGGGGCTTTGGCTCAGGGAAACAACACTGCACAGCTTTTACAAATCCCTAGATTCAATCCTCAGGATCCTTACAAAGTATCACTTAGATCATGACATTTGTGTGCAAGATGTGTTCCAGAACTGTCTAACCCATGCTTCCACACTTTATTTTATTATTTATTTATTTGGGTTTTTTGAGACAGGGTTTCTCTGTGTAGTTTTGGAGCCTGTCCTGGATCTTGCTCTGTAGCCCAGGCTGGCCTTGAACTCACAGAGATCCGACTGGCTCTGCCTCCCCAGTGCTGGGATTAAAGGCGTGCGCCACCACCGCCCGGCTCACTCTTTATTTTACTCACACTCTAGTTCTGTAGGACAAAGGGCAGACAGTGGTAACTACATATCTAAGTAAGCACCTTAGTTTCTTGTTAAAGTTGGGCCCTATTGAGTGACTTGCTTAAGTCTTTTTTATTTAAAAGACTTTAAAAGGCCTTAATTTGCCTAATTAGATAAAAAATAGAAAACCACTCAGACACACCACTTCTGTAGCAAAATGAAGTGAGAAGACAAATACATTTAAAGCCACCATATTACTTAGTTGTTTTTTATACCAGTATTTAGTCACATCATTTATAATAGCATTTATTTGAAAACAATTTAAGATTGGTTGGTGATTGAGTCTTATTGGTAATTTTCTTTTAAAATTCCGAGTAGGAGAACCAGTTATCAACTCCGCCTATTTCTGGATTGCTTCTGAGCACAGAAACCACAGACGTCTGCGATGTAACCCTGTTGTTTGCAGTTTTTTTTTGTTTTTTTTTTTTGTGGGGGGGGGGGCCGTTGAGACAGGGTTCTTTGTGTAGCTTTGTGCCTGTCCTGGATCTCACTATAGCCCAGGCTGGCCTCGAACTCACAGAGATCCGCCTGCCTCTGCCTCCCGAGTGCTGGGATTAAAGGTGTGCGCCACCGCCGCCCGGCTGATTTACATTTTTAAAAAGCATCCTCGTTTCTCTAACTTTAGGACTATACATGGTTCTTTCGGTTTTGTTTGGTTTTGTTTTGTTTTGTGTGTGTGTGTGTTTTGAGGCACAGTCTCATATCCTCAGCAGACTGGTCTCAAAGTCACTACCTGGGCAAGGACGGTTTGGAAGTTCTCATCCCCCCGCCCGTGTTTCTCGAAGCCGAGATTACAGGCCTGCGCATCAGAGCTTGTCTGTGTGGTGCTGGGGTCAACCCCAGGGCTTCATGCAGGAGACATTCAGTCCGACTTGATGAACGTGATGCAGATTTTATGAAACTAAGCAATTCTGAGTCTGAGAGTGAAGAGTTAAATGGTAATACAAAAAACGTAGTCACGGCCAGCACACCCAACTCTGCCAGCCATCGAGTTTCCAAAGTCCTCAGCATCCCAGCTCCCTTCTTTCTCACTCACTCACTTATTCCTTTCTTTAAAGAAACAAAAACTAAGTTGTCCAAAATTCCCAAGTCAGTTTGTACAGAGCTGAATGAGAGCTCTGCCACTGGATAGGATGAGTTCCCTTTACCCAGACGCCGTCTTCATTCTGGGTCAAGGCGAGGTAAAACAGGGAGAATGAGATTCCCGAACGCTGAGTCTTGAGTTATGAAGTATCCGGATGAATGTGCGTGAGCATGCTGAGAAAGAGTAAAACAACAGAAGCTATTAAGAAACACATTTGTTTCAACTGAGGCATTAGAAGTCCGTACCTTCCTGAATTCCTAAGATCTAGTTTATTTATAACAGGTCTAACGGTGCTAACTATGTTTACACAGACAGACGATAACACCGTTCAGATTAACACGCCGTATCAGGCACTCATCCAGCAGCCTCTGTATCTATCTCTGTGGGACTGACTTTCTTCCATCAGCAGACACGACTGCTTTGCTCTTGGAATGAAGAAAAGCAGCAGCAAAGGTCACGAGCCCAAAGCCTGGGGAGGGCAGCATCCGAAGGGATGGTGAACAGTGACCACTGATGACTAAAATCCAACAGAGAGGACTTCGGAATGCAACTCATTTAAAACTGTCAGTAACTTCTCTCTTATTTAAAAAGAAGAGGACTGCTTTTAGCCATTTAAAGTGAGATGATCTTTATAATGTCCATTCTAATTCTGGCATTCTTCTTAAAAGCAAAGGCAATTACACTATACTTTTCAAATTTTTATTTTCTTAAGTTTTATGAGATAGGGTTTTGCTATGTAACCCAGGCTGGCCTGGAACTCAAGATCCTCCCATTCCACCCTTGAAGTAATGATATTACAGGGGTTTTATATGAATAACCTCCCGCCTCCCACCCCCCAAGGTCTCTGGGAATTGTAAATTATCCAAGAGGAATGTAATACTAAAACTATTACTTTTAAGAATAATGCTTCCAAGTTGGAATATCACATTCATAAGCTTAACAGTAAGAGTCTTTAAATATTGTCCATGGAAGCAGTGTAGACTATTAAAAAGATATCCAAATGGTAAACCAGGAAGACAACAGACAAAGTAATGGTGTGACAAATTTGAAGATACATATGCTCCTATTAAAGCAGCCAGTTCAATTTTCTGTATCATTCTGTCTAAACAGTTTTGTGAACAAGCAATCCCTTGGCAAAGCACAGCAGAGAATTAATCATGACTGCATTAACACATAAAAGATACTTTGATTACCACTGTACTGGCCTTTCAATCCCTCTGGGCATGAGCGACGGCAAACCACCCCTACTATGTTTGGAACATGTTTACTGACATTGCTCCATTGAGATACAAAGTACGCACTGTGTTGCTTTCTAGTACCTGGAACTCTCCACCGAGAGCAGGCCATAGGTTCCTTTTACTCACCTGCAGAGCTGCCTTCTGCTGGGCTGCAATGTGCTGCTGCTCAGCATGATCCCGAAAGTCCTTATTAAGAGAGGGTCTGGAGAGGGAGATGCTAAAATGGAAATCTTGGTTACTTGGTTACCGAACACAGAGATATCCTTATCTTAAAAAAACAAAAACAAAACAAAACAAAAACTGTACAAGGGGATTTATTAGATTGGCACATTTTTATTATAGTAAATTACATTTTAAAATTGAGGTATAGCAGACACATAAGAATATTTATGTACATATTTTTGGTTATAGTTTTGATATTTATATACATTAAAAATTCAGTCAAGCCAGATAACCTATCCATCAGGTCATATGCCAATACTATGATACTATACAAGATCTCTCAGTAATTTTCAGGTATACATCATTATTTACCAACCACCATGCTGTATAAGAAATCTAAAGAGATCATGTGGTGTTTCTGTTTTCTATGTGTAGCACTAGAAATCATACGGAAGGCCTCAAGCACACTAAACCACAGAGTTAATCCCTAAGCCTTTATGGACTTATGTTGAATCACATAGTGTTCATTAAGTATACTCCTTTAAAAACGGTTTTTAACTTGTTGGTTTTGTGTCAGACATATGGAGATCAGTTTTCTATACCATGTAAGTCCTAGGAGTAGAACTCAGGTTGCTGCTGCTGCTGCTTCTTTTTCTTTGGGGGTCGGAGGTAGGGAAGGAGGGGGTTTGAGATAAGGTTTCACTTTGTAGCTCTCTGGCTGTCCTAGATCTCGCTCTGTAGACCAGGCTGGCCTCGAACTCACAGAGATCCTCCTGCCTCTGCCTCCCGAGTGCTGGGATTAAAAGCATGCACCACCACCGCCCAGCGGACATTAACATTTTTAAAAACTGTTAACAAATAGCATGATGTTTATCAACAGTAAAACCATACTTCATTGTCTGTATCATAATTACACGTATGATAACCATGTTCTACACAGGTTGAACAACTGTGAATTAAAAAAAAAAAAGCCACACTGACAGTGGCTTACTCCTGAGATTCTAGAGCAGCTACTGGACAGCGGGCTCTGTGCTGAGCACTAGGGCTATACAGAGATGCAGAACAAAATCTCACAGACAACAGCAGCTATGATGAAATGTGATGATGCACATGACGTAATAGGAAGGGGCAGTCTATGAACACAACTGGGATTTTGGTAAGGAGAAGCTTTAAGTGTAGACCTAATTCTAACAGTAATGAGACCTCCAAAGAGTGCTAGTCAGTGCTTTTCTTTTTAAAAGTATGATTAATAATAGCACCTCCAAAGAACAGTCAATACCTAGCTCCAGGGTGACTTGCTGAAGATTGGTTCTGCATAAGTAATTTTCTTTTTTCTTTGTCCAGTTCAGCCAAAATCGCAACTCTGTTTTTATTTTGAAAACCTAAAGAAAAAGAAGGGAAGGGGAATAAGAAGCACTTTAGAGCAAGGCCATGTAGAAGCCAGAAAGCAAAGTTCCTATTCTCTAGCATGGTCATGAACTCACTAGAAAGTTCTTTCTCCCCACTGGCCATTTCCCAGCAACTTTAAGAGCATACATTACCAGATGTGGTGGCAAACATATAATCCCAGCACTTGAGAGGTGGATTTCAAGGCCTGCCTGGCCTACATGAGACCTTATCTCTTTAAAACAAAACAAAAGATCCAATGGGGTGGGGAGTTTAGCTCAGTTGGTAGAGTGTTTGCTGAATATGCAAAACCCTTGGATTCGACCTCCAATATAGCATAAACTAGATATGGTGGTGCATACCTACACCTGTGAGGTAGAGGCAGAGAGATCAAGAGTTCAAGGTTATCTCTGGCTATGCAGCACGTTTAAGGGCAGCCTGGGCTACATGACACCCTGACTTAAAACAAACAAACAAAAAACAGGCTCAGCAATGGTAGCATACACCTTTAATTCCAACACTCTCAGGAAACAGAGGCAGGTGGATTTTTGTTGAGTTCTAGGTCAACTAAGGCTACCTAGTTCAACCCTAAAAAAAGTGTGTGCATGTGTGTGCTGAGATGGCTCAATAGTTAAGAGTACTGGTTGCTCTTCCAGAGGACCTGGGTTCAATTCCCAGCACCCACAGGCAGCTCACAACTGTTAATCCAGTTCCAGGGGATCTGATACCATCTTTGGAACTCTGTAGGCACCAGGCACAAACATGGCACCCAGACATGCATGTAAACAAAACACCCATACACATAATATTAAAAAAAAAAAAAAGTCAAAAACAAAAAACCCAATGAGCATAATAGATGGATACAAAATAAAAGTAAGGACTTTTAAGATGTATTTAATTTTTGCAGTAGCAGGACCCATCCCTTGTACATTCCATGCAAGCACTCTTCCACTAACCACAATTCCAGCACCAAGACTCGGGTCTAAATAATTTTACTCACCAAGGTATGAGTTACAGCATTTGTTTTGGACTAAATTTGGGGGCCCAAAATATTGCACAGTCAAATCTACAGGTGTGCAGATTCTTTTTTTTTTTTTTTTAAGATTTTATTTATTATGTATACAGTGTTCTGTTTGCATGTATCCTTGCAGGCCAGAAGAGGGCACCGTATCTCATTACAGATGGTTGTGAGCCACCATATGGTTGCTGGGAATTGAACTCAGGACCTCTGGAAGAACAGCCAGTGCTCTTAACCGCTGAGCCATCTCTCCAGCCCAGGTGTGCAGATTCCTACATGAAGAAAAAAGCATTATGCAGGCTGGAGAGATGGCTCAGTGGTTAAGAGCACTGACTGCTCTTCCAGAGATCCTGAGTTCAATACCCAGCAACCACAAGTGGCTCACAACTATCTATAGTGGGATCTGATGCCCTCTTCTGGCATAAAGGCATACATGCAGACAGAACATTCATATACATAAAATAAATCACAAAAAAAAACACCAAAACAAATACTGTGCATACTCAGATCAAATTCATTAAAAAACGATACATTTTTGAAGGAAAAGCCAAAGAATTCCAAATGACCAGACCAGAAAGCAAGTTTAAGAAATAGCACAACTCATAAGATATATAGACACCTCATTTTATCAAATACTTATTTAATATTTGACTTAATTCTAAGCCTTAAACTTAGATAAGATCTCAGCACGTGTTGCAAAGTCCTGCAGCAGGCAGTGTGCAGCTAAGCTTTAAAAATTCAAATTAAAGTCAGATGGTGGTGGCAAACACCTTTAAACTCAGAACTTGGGAGACAGGAGCAGGTGAATCTCCGAGTTCGAGGCCAGGCTGGTCTACAAAGTGAGTTCCAGGACAGCCAGGGCTACACAGTTAAAACCCTGTCTCAAAAAACAAAAACAAACAAACAATCAAATCCAAATTAAAATGCCAACATGTGAACACTGAAGGACTCCACATTCTTAGATCTCTAGCCTCTGCAAATCTGTCTAACTCAGATTCCCACACAGCGGCAACAAGCCAGAACCAGAGAGAGTATTTATTCTCCCTCTAGCTGGCCATTCTCACACTCTTTATAATCCTGAGCAGACTTGTTTGCATGACCATAGGAGTCTGCATTTCTGATCCCTAGCTAATGAGGGTAGACAGAGAGATGGGGTCGGGGAGTGTAAAAGGACTGGGAAACACAGAAGGATGTGGAACAGGAGACAATTACAGCTCTGGAGACTAGAAGGATAAATTTGGGATGAGGGTACTTTCAATAAGGGTAGGTAGACCTAAGCACGCCTAAATACCCATTTGTGGGACTGTGAGAATTTTACACTGACTTACAGAGAAGACCTGGTAGGTGGAAAGGTCCCCGAGAGGCAGACTGGTTGAGATGGCACAGCATGTATAAGGTATTCATAGATACGGGCCTAACCAGACAGAGCTGGAACTTGCAGTTCTCAGTTTAACCAGGTACCAGCAGCCTGTCTATAGGCAGGAGTTTGGGAAATGCCATATCCATTTTAGTAATTTATCCTCTCCCATTTTCCATCTCTGAACCTGTTATACCACAAATTCTAGTAACAGCAGACTCCTTTTTAATAACTACCAGTGACAGTACATTCTGGCATTTCTAAAAAGATGGTTTTATGAACTTTCCAGGCAATTTTTCATACTAGATCTAGAGCCCATTTCCTGCTGACATGCTCTCTGAGGAAAACAGGCCATCAACATCAACTGTCAGGTTGCTGAAATGCCCCTTCTTCTTTCCCAGGTAGTGACAGTGGGTCAGGCAGGCCAAGAATGAAATGTCCAGGGAAGGTGAACTTATCCCAAGTACAGCGGAAACAGAACAGGCTAGTTTTGTACAGTGCAGGAACCTGCACTGTTCTCCGAGAGCAAAGCAAGCTAATGATGTCACTGACTATGTGGTCTAATTTATAGAGCCTCTCTCCCACAGTAAAGATGCACCACGAAGCTGGACATGATGACCCACTCTTAGGGGGTCCTCGCCCTTGGGAGGTGAAAGCAGCAGGATCAGGCATTCAAGACTACCTTCAGTTGTACAGCAAGGTTTTAAGACTAGCCTGGGCTACATCAGACCCTGTTACAAAAAAGGAAAGGGCACTGCAGATCAGATCTGGGATATCTTACTGTAAGAAGGCAAGAAGTCTTTAAAAAAAAAAAAAAAGTCCAAGGTTGCCCTTGGACAGAGAAGCCAGTTGAGGCTAACCAGACTGTCAATGTGAATATTAAAAAGAGAAGAGTTAACCAGGTGTGGAGCTCATACCAGTAATCTTAGCCCCAGAGCTCTCAAACAGGAAGACTGCTAGGAATTGCAGGCCAATCTGGGCTACTGGTACTGAATGAATTCTAAGCCAGCATAAGCTGAAAATAGACAGACAGCGAGAGGGAGAGAGACAAGAAGAGGTGACAGCCAGAGTTACAGCTGGAGTGACGACGGACGGGTCAGTGGCAGCGGGGCAACCATCAGGTTTCTGAAATTCCCAGGTACTTTACTGTGGGGCCACACTATATGACAACCAACATTTTAAAATGAGCTCACAGACAGCATGGAAATGCTTCTTAGGAAATTTTTGAAAGATTTTTCGCTTTGCCTTTGAAACCATTACTAAGCAACTTAATTTATAATTGGATATAATTGCTTCATAATCATACATAATATCCCAGAATTTATTACAAATTAAAAAAACTCTCAACTTTACACATGATGTTTAAATTCAATGAAAACTTAAAGACTACTCTAGTTGAAACCTAAAGCAGGGCACAGTGATACACTGTAATCCCGGGACTTGAAAAGCAGAGCTCAGAAAAGGCTGTGTAGGTTCGCATCTTCTGAGCTGGCCTTACCATTCTGAAATGCATCCTTCCTTTTTAAAGTTTTAGATCTAAACTGGGTGTGGTGGCAACACCTTTAATTCCAGAACTCGGGGAGGCAAGCCTGGTTTACATATACATAGTGAGTCTCAGGCCAGCTAAGTCTACACAGTGAGACTGTCTCAAAAACAAAAACAAACAAACAAAAAACATGACCTAACGGAGTGTGAGTTTTGAGCAAAGTATTTACACTATGAAAGTATAAAAAAGTCAACAAATACTATTTAAGTACTAATAATTTCTTACTTCAGACTTGAAACTTAAGGCAAACTAGTTAGTCTGTCTGGTCATATGAAGTAAGGTACAATTTCTCTCACCAGTAGAATTCTTACAAACTCAAAGGTTAAACTACTTAAACAAAAGGGTATACTCACTAGTGAGATTTTCTTTAATACCTATGGTCTCATGCTATAACTTATGTGTCTGTGTTCACTCTTATCACAAGGATTATTTACTGTATTATCTTATATACAGTAGGAACTATAATATCCTCATGTCCATCAAATATAATTTTCTTAGAATGAAACAGTACACTAAAATACTTTCACTTTTCAAATGATAAGTCTTAGTCTGAATGTAATTGTCCCCCAAAGGTCATAGGGAGTGGCACTATTAGGAGGTGTGACTTTGTTGGAGTAGATATGGCCTTATTGGAGGAAGTGGGGGTGGGTTTTGAGGTCTCATACATGCTCAAGCCATGCTCAGTATCCCAGTTCACTTTCTGTTGCCTGCAAGATGTAGAACTCTCAGCTCCTTCTCCAGTACCATATCTGCCTGCATGCTGCCATGCTTCTCGCCTTGATGATAATAGAAAATGGACAAACCTCTGAAACTGTTAGCAATCCAATTAAATGTTTTATAAGAGCTGCTGTGGTCATGGTGTCTCTTCAAAGCAAAGAAACCCTAACTAAGACAGAAGTTGGTACCAAAAGTGGGGTATTGCCGTGATAGGTCTGACTATGCTTTTGTTTGAAGGGATATGGACCTTGGGACTGTGGATTAGAGAAGCAACTGAAAGCTTTAAATGCTGCTTAATGGGCCATCCTAGTAGGAACATGGAAGACAGTGGTGCTGAGTGTGATTTGAACTGTGACCA